GAGGGCCCTGGTGACAGGGGCAGGGAAAGGTGAGTGTGAGCAGGGATTTGGGGTGAGTGTGAGCAGGGATTTGGAATGAGTGTGAGCAGAGACATGGGGTGAGTGTCAGCAGGGATTTGGAATGAGTGTGAGCAGAAACGAGGAGTGATTGTGATCAGGGACACGGGGTGAGTGTGTGAGCAGGGATTTGGGTGAGTATGAGCAGGGATGTGGGGTGAGTGTGAGCAGGGATGTGGGGTGAGTGTGAGCAGGGACACGGGGTGAGTGGGAGCAGGGATTTGGGTGTGAGCAGGGATGTGGGGTGAGTGTGAGCAGGGAAGAGTGTGAGCTATTCACTGAGGAGAGGAAGGGACAACCTCAATTCTGAGTAGGGTCCAAGGTGGCCTTGTCACAGCTCAGCCCTTGAAAACCTGATTCCACGGACTAGGACTAACCTGTTTCTGTCACCTGGTTGGAGACCCACCAGGACAGAATGACGACCCATCCTGGCCATCACAATACCCCTGATGGATGAATTTAGGTTGGCTGCAGGATAGCTCCTAGATGCAAGCTGGACAGTTAGGCATCAGAGGCAACCTTCCCTGGGCTCATCAGGAGCTAGCTGCCCTCCAGGCTCTTTACCTCCACCTGGGATCCTGACCCTAGCTGTGACCAGGCATGTAGGGCCCTTGTCCCACCACTCTTCCTTCTCCAGGGATTGGGCGTGACACTGTGAAGGCCCTGCACGCCTCAGGAGCCAAAGTGGTGGCCGTGACTCGTACCAACTCAGACCTGGTCAGCCTTGCCAAAGAGGTAAGGCACACAGCCCTGATATGGCTGGGGCCTGTTCCCCACCCTCAGGGACTCATCAGAAGGTGGCTGGAGCACTGACTCATTCCACCAAACAATGTCCCCCACAGTGTCCCGGGATAGAGCCTGTGTGTGTAGACCTGGGTGACTGGGAGGCCACAGAGAAGGCGCTGGGTGGTATCGGCTCTGTGGACTTGCTGGTGAACAATGCAGCCCTGGTTATAAGGCAGCCCTTCCTGGAAATTACCAAAGAAGCCTTTGACAGGTGGGTACCCGGGGAGAGTGGGCAGGCCAGGGAGGGTAGCTGAAGACAGGAGGTGTCTGAGGCTATGTATTGTTCTTTTCCTGCCAGATCCTTCAGTGTAAATCTTCGCTCCGTGTTCCAGATATCCCAGGTGAGATGGTAGGAGGGCTGTAGCCCCCATATGAACAGTGGAGAGGGTAGGGTAGGGTGAGGCAGGATGATCTACCCCCAACCCTTTCTTCCAGATGGTAGCCAGGGACATGATTAACCGTGGAGTGGCAGGATCCATTGTCAACATCTCCAGCATGGTGGCCCATGTCACCTATCCTGACTTGACTACCTATAGTGAGTGGACCCTCCAAAAAACTACAGGAGTCTTAGGGTTTTGGTGGGCCTCCCAGAAAGGGTAATTAAAGGGTCCTCCTCCCTCCACAGGCTCCACCAAAGGCGCAATGACTATGCTGACCAAAGCCATGGCCATGGAACTGGGGCCATACAAGGTAGGCACAGGGGTGGAGCCACACCTGAGGGACAGATGATGGGCACCTGAGGTAGGGCTGGGGTTGAGGGTGAGGCCTGAGGACCACAAGGCTCTGAGCAATGGGCTCAGGGTTCAGCTGGACAGAGTAAGCGAGCCAATCAGGCTTGCCCTGGGGTGAGTCCGGAGCTGTGCAGGTAGGGCTAGTTCCTTGTCTGTGGAGCTGTTCCAGCTGTGGCTTCCGACCCCAGATCCGGGTAAACTCCGTAAACCCCACTGTGGTGCTGACTGACATGGGCAAGAAAGTCACTGAAGATGCTGAGTTTGCCAGGAAGCTCAAGGAGCGCCACCCTCTGAGGAAGTTTGCAGGTCAGCTGGGCACAATGGGTGAGGGAAACAGTGTTGTTTGCTGGCAGCCGAGCAAGCAAGAGCCTTGACTGGGTCTGTTCTTCTGCAGAGGTTGAGGACGTCGTCAACAGCATCCTCTTCCTGCTCAGCAACCATAGTGCCTCCACCACTGGCTCTGGCATCCTGGTAGATGCTGGCTACCTGGCCTCCTAGTCTGCCCAGACCTCTGAGTAGCCTTCCTAGCCCCACCCTCAAGCCAAAGCATCTACTGATCTCGTGACCCTGCCCTCATGCCACAGCCACGCCCACTACGCAGTTCCCGTCTCCACTCCCGTGTTACTGTCTGATCCCACAACCACTCCAGACCCCAGACCTTGGAGTCCTGTTCATTTTGTCCGCTTTATTGGGCTCATTTGCCTGAATAAATGGGCCACCATGTTACCTTAACCATTGCACAGGACTCCGTGGGGGGGAAGGGCCGCCTGGTGCGAAGCTGAACGCTGGATCAAGTCCTGCTGCAGGCATTTCACCTCAAAGCCTGCTATCTTTCAATACCTACTGTGTCTTGTGACCAGTGTGATCAAAGAACAGTGGTTTTTCTTTAAAAAGAAGAGATCTGTATTACCATGCCCTTTCCCCTAGTGCCCGCACCTTTCCATTACTGGATCGGTGCCTCTTGGTGCTCTGACCCTGACCAGGCAATCATGGGAAGGGAACAGGAGGCATTCTGGACCAGGTCACTCCTAAACCTGTGGACTCTGTGCAGAAAGAGGGGAGCCGTTGGATTGGGATCGGAATCATCCCTTCTAAGAAGGCCACCCAGATGGGCTGACATTTTCACGGCTAGTTAGCTGGTCTATCACCCTGATCTGAACCAGCACAATAATCCTGCAACCCAGACTCCTCAGAAAGTCTTGGAGGCCTGGCAGATTCTCATGTACTTGCTTACATTGGTCCATGGCATCTGATAGTCTCTTGGGCCTGAAGTGGCCAACCATTTGAATTGACATGGGGTCCCTCTCAGGGCAAGTGGCAGAGCAGAGGTGGATGTGCTCAGTTAAGACCTTCTAAAGAGAGCCCAGGAGCTGGTCGGTGGTGGCGCACGCCTTTAATCCCAGCACTTGGGAGGCAGAGGCAGGTGGATTTCTGAGTTCGAGGCTAGCCTGTTCTACAGAGTGAGTTCCAGGACAGCCAGGGCTACACAGAGAAACCCTGTCTCGAAAAACACTGAGAGAGAGAGAGAGAGAGAGAGAGAGAGAGAGAGAGAGAGAGAGAG